TTTCAAGGATGCATTTTTATTTGATGATCTCCTGAGAAGGTATTTAATAAGCTCATAATTGTATAACCTACCGTTGAATCTACCAAAAAGTTGATCCATGGATGAATATTCTTTGGACAAACTGCATTCAAGTTGGTGAACTCCATGTACATCCTCCACTTGTTTATTCGCTTTGCGGACCATCACCAGATTTGTTAGTCAATTTAGATATTGAACTTCACGGATGAAGTCGGTTTTCATTGGCTTTTGAACTTCTTGTCAGATGGGTTCAATCAGGTTAGTAGCTATGAATCTCATTTTTAGCTTGATGGCTCTGATGTTAAGGTTGAGATTGAGTCGATAACAAACAACATTGATATCAACTCCGGTATCTTATCTGCGGTCTACTCAAATACGTCGTAGTGATCTCTCAAAGTTGAGATCAACTGCTTCTTCTGCTCGTGATGTAAGTTCGAGCTGGTTTGAAAGGTGTGTTCGCATTCACCTTCAAAGACAAGTAATAGTTTAGTGGTCTCTAAACTGATCCTTTTATGGGTGTCGAGTTCAAGAGTATTCTTTTGCACATTGCCAACTGCTCGAATGTAGCACGTTCGAGATTGAAACAAGTCTCTCTGAATGGTGATGATTTTTTTTCCCGAGAATTTGACGGCGATGTTGTAGGTAGAAGTTACTGCCTTGAACAAATTAAGGACCGGTCTACCCAAGATGTCATTGTAAGTGGTCGAAGCATCCACTGCTATGAAATCTACCATGAAAGTATATTGTTTATCTACTCCCCAAGTTTTCGGTAGGGAGATAGACTCGACAAATCTCTTTTCTCTCCCTTGAGAACCCATGAAGAAGTCCCAAAGTAGGAGCGAGCTTTGCGTTCGTCATATTCATCCTCTGGAATACTTTCTCAAATAGGATGTTGATGAAGCTCCTCGTATCTACCAAAATACTTCTGATTTGGTGATTTTCGATGACTGGGATAATGAATATGGCGTTATTAAAAGGGTTCCTACCCTCGCGTAAGTCAGCTTAAATGAAATTTATAGGTGGGTGATGAAAGTGGTAGTTCTAGCCAGGATAGCATAATGAATGTCTTTCACTTTGGCCCACTTCAAACTTGAATGTATGGCGGCTTCAAGTTTGTTTCCACTGAATATGGCGGGTATGATGTCGGTGATATGCATGCTGGTAGTGGGATTTGGTTCATCAAGAACGGTTTCGATAGCGCCTTTCCTTGCCTAATAGTTTGGGCTTCTAGCTTAACAAAATCTTTCATTTTCCCCGCTGGGATTAATTCTTTGATCAGGTTTTGGAGAAAACAATAATCCAATATATCATGTCCATGGTCGCAATGATAGACGCTATACTTGTTGGGATTTCGTTGGAAGCTTCCAGTCTTCATCGATGGAGATCTCTTGAAGAATTCTTTATTTTGAATGGCCTCTACGATTTCGGCTATGGATACTTGAAGAGGAGTGATTTCCAATATGGAGAGTTGAGATGCCTCTTCACTTCTTTCTGGCTCCTTCACAATAAGCCTTTGATCAGACTGCTCCGGTTGAGGATATCATTTGGGGATATCTCACTAGTTTACTTGTGAGAATCTATGGTTGGATCCCTGATGCTCGTGAGAATCTCTTTGATGAACTTTCTTCTTCGATCTTTCCATGTCAAAGGGGTTCGACAAAGAATTATATTCTTTAGACGAGATATGATCATTGGCCAATTTTAGGAGGTCAGCTAGAGCTTTAGGCTTTTGCAAGCCAAGCACATATCAAAACGGGGCTTCACATAGGCCTTGTGTGAGTGCCGCATGAGCAACAAAAGGTTCAAGATTTTTAATGTCGAACATCTTGTGCTAGATTCGGGTAATAAAGCTTTGTAAGCTTTCAAATGAAGCTTGTCAATTTCTTAGAAAATTTTGATAGTTTTTCTGTGGCTTTTGAGCGCTAACAAACTGAATTATGAATTTTTGTTTAAATTTGTCAATGGAGGTGATAACATACTAGCAAGTTGTTGAGCCAGCACAAATCGACTCCTTGAGCGTTGTGAAAAATAAATGACCCTTAAGCAAATAAACTACTGATTCAAAAGAAGTTACATGACCAGTAGGATCAATTCTTCCTTTATAAGAGTCCAAAGAGGGAATTTTGAACGTCCTGGGGTTTCTGCTTTAATGATTTTTCGGGAGAAAGTATTCTCTAGTGATTTTCTCCTTCATTGTCTTCCTTTTCCTTCATCTTCCAAGGACTCCGGGATCCTCTTCTCCGAGAATATACATTATCGTCATCTTACTCTACTTTCTCAAATGGCGGATCCAGGGCTCTCATTGCCTTGACTCGAGGTGGCTCCTCTCTGAGCGGCTGGTCTCTCTGTTGTTCTTGCCTTCATGCCACCAAACTGGATGATCCCGTATGACTTCTTAAATGTATTATAGAACGGGTTCTGGATACTAATCACCTTACTTATCCTATTCTATTTTTTCATTTGTTCCATGAGTTCCTCCATCTACTGCGTCACATACTATGTAGTGCAATCTATTTGTGTTTCTCGTTTTACCTTGAAATAGAAGATCTCTCGACTAGATTTTGATCATGAGTTCTACGTTTACCATACCTTTTAGGATATTGATTTTTTTTTTTTGGACATGAAATCTCGTATAATTCATGAACTCGTGCAATCCATGAGAGATCTTAAAGGAGTGAGAAGAGTTTTGGGATTTTTATAGTGTTTTTCGAGGTTGCAGGATTGAGAGAGGATCTCCCTTCCTCTCGCATTCATTCTTATTTATATGCTTAGGAGTCTATGTAACGGCACATGGAACTTGAAATAAATCTAAAACTAGGTTATATGTTATGTAGTATGGAACTTGAGCAAAGTTATTGTCGACAAGGCTGCTGGTGTGGGTTGACATGTTAATAAATGACAATACGTATGTTGATAGATGAAAATTTTCTTTCTTCTACCTCGAGGAGCTCTTCGCCAAGCTTGGTGGCATAGCAAGGTAGAGTTGTCAATGAATTTGGTGTGAAGTTTCAAAAAACTCATACGAGTATAGAATAGGAACTCGGGTAATGTAGGCAATTTTGGCTGTAACAGTTCGTCTGAAGATTGAAATGAGATAGACCCGTTATAAAAAAACTTGTTGGAATGCTAATGTATTTAAGAGGTACTTTGGAATCCTTCAAACAGTAAGGATTTGTAGTTTATTATTTTTGAAGGTACGGCTCTTGCGTATGACTGACATAGTTAGCGTTAGGCTACTAAATGCACATTTGTTAGGCTCGATCCTTTAAGTCGCGAGGCCATTTAGCATTTGGCTTTGCTGTTGCTTAACAATTCTTGGTACCTTAGGCTTATTCATCTCCTTCACTTTGCTGCATCACGAATGGTTTTTATCAGAAACTCTCATTCCTCTTGAAGAAAAGAGTGGTTTTTTTTTTATTGTAATTTGCAAAAGCTTATGTCATGAGATTTTTTTTAATAATTTTGTATAGCTTGTAGGTTATATGACGTCCTCATTAATTTGGTCATTTTTTCTTTAACTTTTAACTGATTTTAGGAAATGAGTTCGGAAAAACATATAATTTACCTTAAAAAATGCATAGAATTTAAGATAATTGTAGCTTTTATAATTTTTAGTGTTGTCAAAGCGTGAGAAAGGGAATGAAATGAAGGGTACTATTTAATTTATTCAAATTATTGCAATTTTATATATTTAATTTAAATAGTTTAGACCTATTATACATAATAACGAGAATATGTAATACTTCGCTTTATTTTACTGTTGGATCCCAATTTGTCCTTTGTTAATCATGCGTTAAAAATTAGAGCCGGATGAAGGAGAGAAGTAGATAAAGAGGAGAGAGAATAGAGTAAGCCTGGACTTTACTGTTGCAAGAGTCCAGTAAAGTGTCCCTTTATTTGTATTTTTGCTCCCTATATGGAAACCGTTCTTAATGTAATTAATGCATTAATTATTTTTATGGTTTTCGGGTCGTATTTGTATTACAATTTGAATTTTAATTATGACGGTGATCGGCTTGCCGTCTTGCTCGACGTCGGTAGATTGAGATGACTGTCCGAGTGGCGATTGTGCCCCATGACGGACATGTTGGTTGGTCAAGTTCATTGTGGACCGACCGGTCTGCTGCGGTTGGGCACTCCTATGCGTGTTCTAGTCAGTCAGAACCGCAGGCTTGGTCCATCGTTAGAGTCTCTTGTCACGGGAGTCCGATCGAATTTTCCCTGCCCAGACGGATGGTTGGGTGATAGGACGCTTTGTTTGCTTAACCTCCATTTGAGCCGTCTAATGGCTTTGAGATTCGTGCTGATATTTTTGGTGTACACAATTAAGTTTCTTAAAATGTAATCGAACAACTCTTTAGAATATTCTAAAACTAAGAAAAATAAATTTTATATATATATATATATATATATTAATGGCAATGAAAAGAAATCATGTTGAAATATTCTAAATAATAGAAATTCTATTTGTATGATGCTACATAGTATAGATCAAATACGTTGTAAATAAAGTTGTCCATAAAAGCTTTGCAAAAAAAAAAAAAAAGAAAAGAAAAAGAAATCTATACCTTTCATCAGTCAATAGAAATGAATTAAAGAAATAGATTTGATAAAACCTGATTCCACGTTGTTGGGCCAATTCTAATGATGATCTTTTAATTCAGTGAAGTTTTTTCCTCCAACGGAAACTCTATTTGCTTTAAACTTGTGTTTTGCTCTCAAACCAAGAATGGAAATTTGCATACATACCACATAATTCTTATTTATTTACATATCTAACACCTACTGATTGATATTTACATTTATATAAATATCAAAGTTTATGTGTTAGATATGCAAATATATAAGAATTGTATGGTATGCATGTAAATGCCCCAACAAAAAAAATGATGAGAAAAACTTTATCTTACTTCTAAAATTATAGAAATTCTCCATAAAAAGTTGTTAGTGGGCATTAACATCAAAGCTTGCGACTTCGGTAGGGTGGGTGGGAAAGTGACGAGATTGTGAAACAAGTATCACTGCGCGAAGCAGTAGAGAAGCTGGCGTGTAAGGAGAGGTAGAGGTGTGCATAAGTTCTTCTTTATCCTTTCTTGCAAAAAAAATTACATACATACCACTCAATTCTTTTTTATTTACATATCTAACCCTTAAATTTCAATTTTTACATACATTCCACCTTACCCATGCATGAAGAGTTATATTGCGCTTTTTAAAAAGTTAAAATGACAGTATTTCTAATGTGATATAAAAGGTTTGGGTTAAATGTGAAAAGCACAATTTAGGTATTACATATATAAATACAGAAGAATTGGGTGGTATGCATGTAAATGCCCACCATAAACATCCTTCTAAATTTCTTATAACGGCTATTTTAGCGAAGGCTTGGAAAGTGGCAGTACAGAAGCAGCACGCAGGCCATAAAGGAGAGCCTAATGTTTCCACTGAGAGTAACTGAGGAGCTACTCATTTGGCCTGAGATGAGTGCCAGGCAGCGCAGATGGGTCAGTAACATATATCAACATTGGAGCTGCAACTTCTTCTTTTTCTATTGCATTATGTTTTGGTGCTTTTGAGTTTGTGTAGCAGAAGCGAGGGAAGGATGCAAACATCCATGGATGAAAGTGGCTTTGGACAGATTAGTGAGGCGACTTTCGAGTTTGATTCGTCGTAAAAAATCAGCTTCGGTAGCGCGATGGCTTCTGTAGAGCTTGTGGATTTGTATTAGTTTTGAATTGCAGGAAGCTGGGAGGATATATTACTGAATTCCTTTCAGCAAATTGCTTTAGGATATCAATTTTGTTGTTGGAAGATTTATGTATGTATCAATCAAATCTCATGCATTTACATATCTAACAGTTAAAAGTTCAATTTTTGTATGTATACCACTATACCTGTGCATAAAATGGTGTATTTTAATTTTTGAAAGTGAAAATTGTGGTTTTGATGTGATATGAAAGATTTGGGCAGTATAAATGTAAAAAAAACAAAGTATAGGTGTTATATATGTGTATATATGGGAATTGGGTGGCATGGACGTTAATGTCCCTGTTATTTCTGATTTCTTGACTAACTTTTTTTCTTTGCCAAAACACTTGAGGCTTGTTTGAGACTATTTTTTGTATTCTGTTTTTTTTTTTCCAAAAAGAAATAAAATAGAAAATGTGTTTGTTTGATACGTACTATTTTTTAATTTTGTTTTCAAACAAACTTGTTATGGAAGAGATCGAAGGGAATCTATTAAAGATTTTTGACCTATCTAAGACTGTTTATTGAAGATTTTACTCGACGATTATACTCTATGATGCAAGAGATCGAATTGACTCTCTCTGAGATTGATTAAACCTAGAAGGAGGTGTAAGAGATGTTGTGTTCTCGAGATTGGGGTGTAAGTCACAATGAATCTCAGATTAAACCTAGAATGAGGTGTAAGAGATGTTGTGTTCTCGATATTAGGGTGTAAGTCACAATGAACTATATATATATATATATATGGTTGCAACCATACTCAAGCATAATATTTAACAATTTTTTATTTATTATTTTTGAATTTGTTGTCCCCGGGTGGGGGTGTTTTTCACATAAGCTTTTAAAGCGGCACATATATTGAATCTTCAAGAGATCAGTTTTTTTTGTCCAGTTGAAGAAAAATTTCAGTATGCTAGGACTGCTGAGAAGAGTTATTTGTGAAGCTGTCCCTCAGCTTGGAAGCGACTCTCGAAGCTTAATGTCTAAATGAAATATGAGATGCTTATCCCGCCATTTCAAGATTATAATTAAGATTGTGTTGAAGAAAAAGTTCAGTATGCTAGGAGTGTTGAGAAAAGTTATTTGTGAAGTTGTCCCTCAGCCTGGAAGCGACTCTCGAAGCTTAATGTCATGAGAATATGAGATGATTATCCCACCATTTCAAGAGTTCCACCCCCACCCCAGTTGGGAGACGTTATCATAGATTTTGTGTCTAGATAGAATGTGGAAAAAGTACCCCACTACAATCATGCACTGGGTGTTGACGTGATTGATCTTTCATAACTGTAGTGAATGTTGTCAGCCACATCAAAGAATGATTCAAAAAAGAATCTTCAAGATGTGCAATGGAGGCTCCTTCGCCAGTTGAATAATGTATATTATCTGAAAATAAGGCAAAGACTCGACGTCTCAACTTGAAGGCAATGTCTAACGGGACTTCGTTTATCACAGACAGTGTCAAACTGATGCATGTTAGAATGTCTACGACAGTAGAGTAATAAATTATTATCTTAGCGTTGCACGAAAACCCAACAAACACTCTGATAATTAATTGAAAGTAGGAGATACCTTAATTTTTACATAGAAAAACCTAAAAATGAGAAAAAATATAAGGGGTTTAGACAAGTTAAAATAATCCACTAGGAATGATTAGTACATAGGTCAACCATTCTCTTAAATTATGGAAGATGGGGCTAAAAAGTTGGTCATTATAAATATACAATAATGGTTCATCCATAATAGTCATAATTTTACTATATTGAATGTAGCTCTCAGTGATAGCAAACTGCAAGGGTTGTAGTCAATTGCTATGAAGTGGTAGTCCACCGTAAATGTTGTGAACAGTGGTTGTAGCACCAGCTTGTCATGTTGATCATTATTAATGTACAATAGTATATCATTTATAATAGTCATAATTTGGTGCACTAAATTACTATGAATGTGGTGGTCCACCATAAATGTTGTAGACAGTGGTTGTAGCACTAGCTTGCCTCATAAGCTGTAGTTGAAAGCCATGGTGGTAACTGACTGGGTGGGTCGTAGATGGTTTCTTCAAAAGAATCAGTTGGCCACGGAGGTCATAGCAGGAAGCTGTAAGATTTGTGAGTCACGTAGGCAGTAATTGGTCACGTAAACTGTAATAATGAGTTGTGATGACGTCCGTAAGCTACAAAGGTCGGAGTCAGGAGCCACATGAACTATGAACCACATATGTCATAATTGATCACATAGGTCGTAGTGGTGAGGTGTGATAACGTCCAATGGTCGCAGAGGCCAGAGTCGATAGTTGCACAAGCTGTGAGCCATGTAGGTTGTGGTTGGTTACATATGATGTACTGGTGAGTTATGATGACGTCCGTAGGCCGTAGAGATCAGAGTCAGGAGCTGCACAAGTTGTTATAACATATGTAAGTCATAGAAACCATAACTGAGAGCTACACTATAGTTGTGATAACGTCAGTAAGTCGTGTTGACCTCACTTTTTGTCAACCCTTCATTCGAGCTAAAAACCAACGCACATACGAACTAGAATATGAAACTTATTCAAATTGAGATAAAAATGACCAATTTGTGGTTCATTTGAGTATTCAACTGCCTTACCTAGGAGATGTTGTAACCAAGATCAACATGCCTTTGAAATCTTGATTTTTTCTCTATTATAGTGGATTAAGGTTGTCTTTTTTATGATGATCATATGCCCATGTGCGCCCCCCCCGGCCCCCTCCCCCGAGCATGCAAGCACATACTCACCAATGCGTATGCCTGAGCGCACACACACCCTTGCGCGCCCATGTGAGTGCACCGAACTTGTGCTGCCCCTTGAACAGGCGTGATCACGACGGTTCGCCCAAAGCCAAACCACCAAGTTCCCCCGACATAGCCATTCCTGGAAGTTCTCGGCTGTGGCCACTCCCGATTCAGGCGTAGCGACATTGAATTGTACCCAAGCGTGGTCACGCCCGACACTAGCATGACCATGCTTCCAAGCCACGCCAACGATCTATGACCTTCTTTCTCCAATCCTGCAACAAATTGATGTGTTATTTTGTCACAGGTGATTTGTAGAAGCTCCAACCGCTGATGGAATCACGACTATAGATCGATCGACGATCACTTTGCTTCCGATCCAGAGGGGTTTTGTTTTTGGAGAGCTAGGGTCTCCCGTCAAAATACACATTATCTCTTTATTTTAAGTTGGTCCTGAAGGCACAACTTTGTAACGAGAAACACTTCATTGTTGTAATTTACATTTCTACTATCACCCTTACAGGGAAATGGGGTCGCCTTCTTCGTTGAGAGGGGGATACGGCAAGTACCCGAATCCCGTTACCCACTAAAGCGGTCACCGCCATTCGTCTCTTCTCCTCTAATCTCCGCCGCAAACCCCGCTCTTATACTTCCCTCGCTCAGATGAAAGTGCGGTGAGTCCTTTTTGTCCCCTTCTGTCGTCAGTAAAATCCTGTAGGCTGCTTACTTCCAGAACATGGGCTCCGAGGGAGGAGGATCGCTTGTAGTCGGTTTGTTCTGATCAACCTCCTTTTCCCCCCCTTTTCTTTTCTCCGATGTTTCGCTAATTTTGGCCTTTTATGGATTTTTCTTTCACGGTGTTTCTTTCTAATGGAAACCCATATGTTACCCTAGATTTTGTTTTTGGAAACCAGGGAGAAACCCCTTGGCTGTGTATGGTTATGCGGTTTTTGGATTTTGGTTTGGTTAGTCAAGGTTATCTCTCTATCGACATGTTTCTATAGCCAGTGGATGGGCTGCCTCAAATGTCGGGTTTCCATTGGTTTTTTAACTGCTCACTGTTCGTGCTTTTCGTGGAAAGGAATTTGATATCTGTGTGATGCTTGAAATGGAGTGCTGATTGTGTTGTTTTTTTCTATTTCTGTTAATTATGCTAGAAATTTAATACCAAAGTCGATTGGCATTTTAAGACGACAGTTGGGACTATAATTGCCTGAAAAGTAGCATTCTGTTTCACTCTGCTTAGATCAGTATTTTTTTTACAATCCCTGTTCAAGATTGTATTCTTCCCTTTTCCTCCTTTATATTAGCGTTCTATCTTCTTATCGAGATTGAAAACTGTGGATCCATTAGGCATGATTATTGAAATGTTCTGTCTAGCGGTAGGTTGTGATCAAAGCATCTAAAAATTTCAATCAAAATTGGTCATTGAAGGTAGCGGACTTTGCGGAATTGTGGAGGGTTCTGCTAATTTTGTGTTTTTTTATTGGAGAGAATGTCTTACAGATTGTGCAATTCCTGGTTGAATAGAGTAATTATTGATCCTAAATTAACCCAAAATTTTCTCAGTAGCTGCATTATGCATGAAAAAGAGTGAAACAAGATTTTCATACAGTTAGTCTATATCTAATCAAGTTGCCATCCATCTAGCTTTTTTTAACTCTTAATATTTTGCATTCTTTGATGTTTTTTCTCTTTATTTTGATATTCTTATTTATTTATTTTTTTTATATTCATATTCTATATCATATTCATTATTTATAAAAAATATTAAGAAGATGATAAATTCCATTAGGAATAGAAATTTTCAAGAAGATTGGGTTGCGCCATATATATCAAAGAGTCTAAAATAATGATGTATTTGGTGAATCAAATAAATGGTCCAATAACGAACCTTTTTCAAAATTTCATTATTCATTAGTTGATAATATTAATAACCATCTTAGTCAATGATGAATTAGCCTATACCTACTGTCGGTACTTGCTAAGAACAATGTTGTCTCCTTCACTGTTCTCTTTGTTTTAGTTTCTACTTTACTCAAGTTCTTAGTTTTGAAGTAGAAGAGTTTTTAGGACTGTATCAGTCACCCACCACTCCCATCTCTCTAAAAAACTAGATGTAGAAAATTCCAATTACAATACAGGAGAAAAATAAGGAATGGTTAGTAGATGGAAGAATAGTTTTTTTATTTAGGGCTTTGAATTTATGCGGCTTTGTTCAAAAGCATGAACTGTGGAATCAGAAGAAGAGTTCACATGCATTTGCACCACTTTTTAAATTTGATCATTCATGATCACATCAAGGCATTCTCTACAACAAACCAAAAGGAGGAAGGAAGAAGCCCCCCCCAGAACAAAATAGAGAAAAGTAAAGTTATGCCTAAAGAAACACATTAAAATTTGGATGATTGATTATAAGGAGTGTGAGCGAGATGTAACCATGATGAGGGTTTTGAAAATTATCTTTCTTAATTTTTTATATTGGTTTTTCATTTTGAAGAAAGTGGAGCTTTAGGGTGGAGATGCAATCTTTCTAAGAATGTAAGTTTTGAGTAGAGATTTTTTTTTTTAATGTAGAACCAATCCTATAAGATATTTCCCTTCAAAATGTTGAGATTTGGCGTTAGGTGACCTCAAATAAAATAAAATAATAGTAAAATAACAGCTTGCCAGTACAGAAAGAAAATTTTGTAACCATAGATGATGAGTAATCCTAATTGATTAAAGCACGATTTTTATAATTAAAATAACCCGTCATTGAATTTTACATCCTCACACAATTTATATTAATGGAAAATTGAGAAGCTTGACCTTTATTAATCATGAACTATTGAAATTTGTCAATCACTTGAGCTTATAGCTTTTATATTTTGAAGCTAGTTGACATATTTAATGCATCAAATATTGATGTGCAAAATCCTTGTTCCATAGGTATTTTGCTCCAACATAAAAATAGAATTGAATATTCTAATTTCTAGGGCGCAAATAATGTTGAAATTATTGCTAGAACTATATGATGGATAACACAGAAAATCTCCACAACTAGCTTAGGGCCATTTGCTTGCATGTATTTAAAATATGTGCATTTTTACATTAAATAGTGAAACTTGGAGGATGAGCTTATTGAACCTTCACAATTCTCTTCACTCTCATGCTAATTTCTCATCTACTTTTGTTATTTTTTCTCTCTTTTTTTTTCCTAAACACCATTTTATTATGGATTTTATTATATTTTAAGTGGGTCAAGCTTTTTCACTAAGAGGACTTTGGATGACCATTAGTAGATGCCTAGGCCTTGAGATCGATGACAAGATGGGAAGCATAATGAAAATACTGAAGGAATTGCAATCACAACCTTTAAAGTGCTACTCCAAGGATTGATATTTACTTGATTATGAATATGTGAGCTACCATCACCATGGAAGCAACAAAGCCAAGTAATTAAATTATGGATTGAGTTTTACCTAAAGACTTGGCAAAGTGGATTCAACCGGTTTGGTTGCATCTACTTTGAAGAAAAATGAGATCCTTGAAGTATCATAATACTTTTTTCTTCTTCCGCTTTTGCTCTGCATGAAACATTTGAAACGCCGAGATATTGCAAAATAAATGCTTTACACAAACTTTACCTCAAACCAAAAATCTTGAAGGGATTAATCAATCAATGATGCTCTATGTTTTCTTCTATTAAGAATAGTTGAATGTGTTCCTGCTCGAGCTACCCTACCATGCATGCTCCTTAATTAGTATTCCTTCACCATCCATAAAGGATCTGTGTCCCATAAAAACAAGCTGAGTGGAAAAAATATCATGTTTTCTTCTGTTAAAACACCTTTCTCTACTTGCCCCAAATATGATTGGCAAATATCTCACAAAGTTAACTTTTCCCTATCTCCATTTTCATAACATGCATTTTAATACTTATCGCAAATTTTGCATTGTTATTTCCATCATATGCCAAAATCTTAATACTTATTGCAAATGTTGGATTGTTATTTCCATCATATGTCAAAATCAAGGATTAGTATGTATTGCATTTCTATCGCATGTCCAATGTATTATGGATTTTTCCACAATAATCAATCAAACATTTCAGAGTATCAAATATTTCAATTTCTTCCGTTAATCAAGATGCAAAAAGGCTTCATATATATTAGAATAGCTCACATTTAGAGCTTTACATAGTATTCAAAGTTTTTAGAATTAGAGAACTAGTCTCAATGTTATTGCACTTTCAATAATGTGGTCACAAGTCTCTTTTATTTGCACAAATGAAAAATATAGTAATCTAACAAAAAAAAAGGTAAAATTGTCATATGCTTGTTGTGTCCCCATCTTGATAATGGTTGATATACCAAAGATGATGATACTAACCCTTTCAAAATGAGATCATGTACTTTTCGCTTTAACTCGTACTCATCTCGTCTCAACTTGTAAGCAGGTCTGTTTGGTAACACTGAACATGAAATAAGATCTATGACTTGCTGGATATCTCGGAGTGGTGGTAGTCCTTCTTGTAGACTGTCGATCATCACATCTTGAAAGTTGGCCAACACTGGCTGGATCGCCTCCAGCGGCTTCGTCTCCCCCTCAACTCCCTCTAGAATGACTAACGACATTGTTACTGGGCCTTCCCATACTAATCGTATAAAGGTGGCGCGAGGAAACACACGCTTCTCCTTGATGTGCATATATGCTCCTCCAACATCGTTAACAGGCATGGGAACGATGTGCTTCCCCTCCTTCATGAATGAACAAGTGTTCTTGAATCTGTCATGCTGTGTCTTGGGATCATACTACCAAGATCTTCCCAACAGGATGTGGCAGATATCTATGGACACCATGTTACATCACACATGGTTATGTAGTTGGTCTCCAATGAAAATCTCTACCAGGCACTACTAATCTACTTATATCTTTTTTTTTTCTTCGACCACGTCAGAGAATAAGGCTGGGATTGTTTTTGTGTAGCCATCTTCAACTTCTTCACCATAAAAATGGAGACCACATCTCTGTCGGCACTAAAAGAAAGTTAAAAGAAAGTTTGGGGGGTCGCCCGTAAGAAGCTGTCGGTCGCCGGAATCGAAATCCCGTCGCCCGCTTCGGAAGGACGTTTTAATTTACGTATATATATGTATATAATTTTAGAAAAATATGAAATCAAACTGACCTCATATTTTTCATAGTTTAAATGAAA